CAAGGGGGATCCGGCTTTCCATGGATGACTTGTCCTCGGGTCTGAAAATGGGGGATTAATGCGCTGGATCCACCAGCACGCTGCTTGACCCAGGACATGATGAGACCTATTGGAACCGAGAATGTATCCACAGGATCCATGAACATTGCAACATTTTCCAGTTAATGAGGGTAGTCACTAGTCACATCAATCATATACAATAGTTGCACTTTTCCTACTCACAATCCAGCCTGGGATTTTCATCCTTCCCCTCTGGGGTTTGCGTGAAATCAGTGAAGTCAATCGCCTAAATACATGTAATTACAATCTACTGATTTGTTTATTGATTTGTTGTTGCATCATACCATTCTGCGAGGCCCATTTTTTAGACCAACGCCACCCATTTTTTTCAGATCCACTAAACTCGGCCTTTTCTTGCATAGCTATGGCTTCAGCAGGCTTTCGTCATACAGTGCTTCTGCGGAGTGGTGGCAGCGCTGTTGCCGTTGGAGACAATGGAAATGGACAATGCAACATCCCACCTTTAGATGAGGGAATGGCATACACCCACATTTCTGCCGGCAATCGTCATACAGTGCTCCTTCGAAGCGATGGCAGTGCGGTTGCCATCGGAGACAATTCAGATGGACAGTGCGACATCCCACTTTTGGATGAGGGAATAGCATACAACCAGGTTTCCGCAGGGCATCATCATACTGTGCTTCTGCGGAGTAATGGCAGTGCTGTTGCCATCGGAGACCATTTTTTCGGTCAGTGCTACATCCCGAGATTTCTGCAGGCCTCTATCATACAGTGCTTCTTCGGAGTGATGGCTGTGCTGTTGCCGTTGGAGATGGACAATGTAACATCCCACCTTTAGATGAGGGAATGACGTACACCCAGATTTCTGCGGGTGGGAGCCATACAGTGCTTCTCCTGTGTGATGGCAGTGCGGTTGCCTGCGGAGGGAATGGACATGGGCAATCCAACATTCCGACGCCGCCGGGAATCTGCTACATCGACACTATCAGCTGTGGCAGAGACTTGGCTTTACAAGTAGAATTTGCGTGCAAGGATGATGCGGTCACCCTGATATGCTCCACTTTGGCTGGGGAAGAACGCTTCCATTCGACCACACAGGGGGTCGATTCGGTCTGGGAGACGCACAAAAGGATTGCCCGTGAAGTGAAGATGCACCTCCCAAATCTCCAGCTCATTTTGCCAGATGGGCAGTTGTTGGCCAAAGTCTGCCGCGCAAATCCAGGTGCTTCGGTTGCTGAGGTGGCTCAAAGTAGTAGCCAGACCTGTCATTCAAACAGTTTCTGAACCACAGCACAGATTGGCCAGGCGCTAAAGAGCAAAAAGCTCAAGGGTTCAGGAGCTGCTGCTGACTGAATGGTGTGTTTGATATGGATATGGCTTTGTTTGAAGATTGGGATACACCCCACTCCACTGGTTGACCATCATTTACCTATTGAAAAGATGTCCATTTGGGAGTATATCCCATTTTCAGGCACACCCTTATTAAAGTCGTCTACAATTCCACTTGTGCTGGTTGACATATATGTTCTTGGTTTCGAAAAAGACCTCTTTGTTGGTGGTTGAACAAGTAGATATAATTAGTCATTCTTGTTGATTGGCATCGTCCGCAGTTTGTTGCTTGACATCTGAAGGCCCTGATGGGAATTTCACCTGTGTGAAAAGAGGCGACCGGTTTCTGAGTTTCCAGAATTTCTCGTAGCTATGATGATCTTAAATGATCTTAATATAATCAATAAACTGCTTGGCTGTTTGGAACCATGGAATTTTATGACTTTCCATTCAGTTGGGAATGTCATCACTGACTTTCACCCCATCATTTTTCAGAGCGGTTTGTAGGTCAACCAGCAACCAGATCATCATTGATCATCATGAATCACCATTATTATGATCATTATTAACCATTGTTTAATACTGATGATATACCCATCCATCATAATTATATACCATCATTAATAACTACGTATTATGAACCAGTAATAATTGATGTTGATGTTATTAACCATTATTAACCGTTATTAACCACTATTAACCATAAACAAAACATAATTATTAACCATAACCATAGCCATTATTGTTAACCATTGTTTAGTCATGATACACCCATCCATCCATCAGTCCATCAGTCCGGCCGATGTCCGAACCGTCCCAGGCCCCGGCTCGTCCGGCGAGTGGAGCCGAAACACGTGGGTCCGGTGGCCACCTTTGCTGGGATGAAAACCATGAGCCATTGGTGGTTTACGGGATGTTTAGGCCATAAAAAAATATGCCATAAAATGGTTATCGAATCTAACTGTGATGAATATGGATAATTGAATATGGATAATATGGATGGTTGATGGGTTGATTTACTTAAAAAACATATATTTATATATAGAATCACCATCCCATTTTTTGGCAGGATATCTAAGAGTATCGAGACAACTGAGACATGCCCCAGATCCTCCGTGGTCAATGGTAGTGGTGAGATACAAGGAAGTAATGTTTCAGTGGTGGTTATGTTTTTTTGTACCGACTTCAAGCTAGTTATTTCTGGGGAATTTCGAGGATTGACTGGATATCGTGGTATTTGAAGATTTGAAGACCATCGGGGATGTGACGCAATTTTTCAAACGAAAGGGGCAACATGCAGGTAGATTTCGTGGCTGGGGACGTCTGATTTTTTTCAGCTGCTTTTGGCTCATGGTCCGCCTAAACACAGGTTGGGTGCAAAAGTTGATGATCCGTAAGTCATGCACCAGCGGGGGTGATGATTTCCCAACCGAGGTATCTATGGGATTCCAATGAGATTCTATGTGTTAGTATCCAATTAGATATGGAATCTATGCGTTATCATGTGTTATCTCCAGTATCTATGGTAGATAAAGTGGGATGTCTATGTGTGAAACAGGCTGTTATCTAATGGTACAAAGGGTATCCAATTCTCCCTGGGATATTTTCCTCGTTGAAACAGCAACGGCAAGGTGGACATGTTCTTTGGTGGTCGTTGTGCACTTTTGCCACCTCAACTTTGGTTGGGCGAATGAGATCTAATGAGATCTAATGATATCTAATGATATCTAATGAGATCTAATGAGATCTAATGATATCTAATGAGATCTAAATGATATCTAATGATATCTAAATGATATCTAATGAGATCTAATGAGATCTAATGAGATCTAATGAGATCTAATGATATCTAATGAGATCTAATGAGATCTAATGATATCTAATGATATCTAATGATATCTAATGAGATCTAATGATATCTAATGAGATCTAATGAGATCTAAATGATATCTAATGATATCTAATGAGATCTAATGATATCTAAATGATATCTAATGATATCTAATGAGATCTAATGATATCTAATGATATCTAATGATATCTAATGATATCTAATGAGATCTAATGATATCTAATGAGATCTAATGAGATCTAAATGATATCTAATGATATCTAAATGATGTCTAATGATATCTAAATGATATCTAGTGATATCTAATGAGATCTAATGAGATCTAATGAGATCTAATGAGATCTAATGATATCTAATGAGATCTAATGAGATCTAATGATATCTAATGAGATCTAAATGATATCTAATGATATCTAAATGATATCTAATGATATCTAAATGATATCTAATGATATCTAAATGATATCTAATGATATCTAATGAGATCTAAATGATATCTAATGATATCTAATGAGATCTAATGATATCTAATGAGATCTAATGAGATCTAAATGAGATCTAATGATATCTAATGAGATCTAGTGATATCTAATGATATCTAATGATATCTAAATGATATCTAATGATATCTAATGAGATCTAATGATATCTAATGAGATCTAATGAGATCTAAATGATATCTAATGAGATCTAATGATATCTAAATGATATCTAATGAGATCTAATGATATCTAAATGATATCTAATGATATCTAATGAGATCTAATGATATCTAATGATATCTAATGAGATCTAAATGATATCTAATGATATCTAATGAGATCTAATGATATCTAATGAGATCTAATGAGATCTAAATGAGATCTAATGATATCTAATGAGATCTAATGAGATCTAATGAGATCTAATGAGATCTAAATGATATCTAATGATATCTAATGAGATCTAATGATATCTAATGAGATCTAATGAGATCTAAATGATATCTAATGATATCTAATGAGATCTAATGATATCTAATGAGATCTAATGAGATCTAAATGATATCTAATGATATCTAATGAGATCTAATGAGATCTAATGATATCTAATGAGATCTAATGATATCTAATGAGATCTAATGAGATCTAAACGATATCTAATGATATCTAATGAGATCTAATGATATCTAATGATATCTAATGAGATCTAAATGATATCTAATGATATCTAATGAGATCTAATGATATCGAATGAGATCTAATGAGATCTAAATGATATCTAATGATATCTAATGAGATCTAATGATATCTAATGAGATCTAATGAGATCTAAATGAGATCTAATGATATCTGATGAGATCTAGTGATATCTAATGATATCTAAATGATATCTAAATGATATCTAATGATATCTAATGAGATCTAAATGATATCTAATGATATCTAATGAGATCTAATGATATCTAATGAGATCTAATGATATCTAAATGATATCTAATGATATCTAATGAGATCTAATGATATCTAATGAGATCTAATGATATCTAATGAGATCTAATGAGATCTAAATGATATCTAATGATATCTAATGATATCTAATGATATCTAATGAGATCTAATGAGATCTAAATGATATCTAATGATATCTAATGAGATCTAATGATATCTAATGAGATCTAATGAGATCTAAATGATATCTAATGATATCTAATGAGATCTAATGATATCTAATGAGATCTAATGAGATCTAAATGATCTCCCATGTGTGAAGCGTGTGAAGCATCCATCGGTGATTGGCCAGCACAAGTAGGGCCCCAGAAAGCTCGCGCCTCTTGGCGACGCTGCCGTTCGCTGCCATGGACAAAACCCTGGTGACGCGGAATCTGCGAGCGATCTTGGAGGAGGGGCGTAGCCGGTGACGTTTGATCAAGACGTGGTTTTAATGCCTGGTAGTTTAACAATATCTAACATAGCTATTGAAAATGGCTCATTTCTAGTTGATTTACACTCTGGTTATTTAACATAGCCATGGAAAATAACCTATTTATAGATGATTTATGATGATTTAATGGATTTACCTATTAAAAAAGGTGATTCTCCATAGCTACGTTAAATAACCAGAGGGTACCTATTGAAATGGTGATTTGACATAGCGAACAGTTCGTCTACCAGAGGCTAGTGGGTCAGGGCCCTCATGTGGTATGGTGCTTTGGATGGCGTGGATGACAACTGGTGGTACAAATAACGCCTTTTGATGCAGAAACAGGTACCCTTTGGCTATTTAATATAGCCATGGAAAATCCCTTATAAATGGAGGTATCTAGCTGGGAAAATCATCTATAAATGGGCCATTTTCCATGGTTATGTTAAATAACCAGAGGGTAAATATGACATCCGATAAATTTTTGTAGTACATGTGATATCGGGTGAGTGAGGTTCACTTAGTTTCACGATTCCTGGTTAGAATAAAATTTCTTCAACCGTGTTGAGTCACCCATTTGTCAATTTGTGGATGATTTACCTGCGTATATTTACCTATTATAAAACAATTAAAACCATATTCCATGATTCACAAGTCGTCAGAAGGTATACATCTCAAACATATCATATTATATATATATATATATACACATATACATATACATATATATAACAATTATGTTCTCCTCAATAGCTTATTGTAATGATTTTTAAACTTGAACAAATGCCAAAAAGAGGAAAACACATGGAAAATCAAAAAGCAAAACTTCAAAACTGAAAAACACCGGAAGCAAAATAAATGGGGGAAAAACAGGAACGTCAAAACGGAGAAAAATGGGAAAGACGACTTGTCCATTCGCATTTGTTTGCATTTATTTTGCTTTTTCGTTTTTTTTTTTGCTTTTATTTTGCATTTTTTTTGCTTTCCCTTTTTGACTGCTTTTTCCCCTTTTTTTCTCTTTTATTTTGCTTTTGTGTTTTTGGATTTTGCTGATTTTTTTTGGCATTTGTCTCGTTTTTTTTTCAAGTTTGTTGATTCTTAGAATAAGCTATGGTCTGGTGAATAATATATATATATATATTTATATTTACATATATTAACTGAATATCTTGTGAACCCCCCAGCCGGTTCTGGTCACCCAACCGGGTTAGGACCACCAGCGCCGTCTTTTCCTGGACCTGGCCTCCTACGTGGATCAGCAGCTGACGGCAGA